AGTTACAGGCACGGTAGCCTGTCCTTTTACCGGAACCAGTGGACTTGATGCCCCAAGGAAGACCAGAGCATTGCAGCGTATATTTAGCATATAGGATGGTAGGTCTGACATGCTTTGTACAAAACAGGGTTAAGCTGACACCGGCAATTGGAGGGTCGACTATACATAGGCATTGAAGAAGCCATAATGAGATGCCATGTCGCAGTCCGCCTCAACTCTATCAGATTCTGAAACAGGTCTGCCAATTTCTCTGACCAGCTTTTGCAGTTAGAAAAGTAGTATAGACTCAATATACGCGCCCCCTGAGCAAGACCTTTAATAATATGACTTCCAGACGAGGACTACACGCTGAGCCCCATCCGATTCTTCCGCACTCAGGGTAACGGGGGCGCCTTCGGTAGGCTCAGCGGCCGCATACCAGTACGGGCCGCCTCCCCCATTGTGTTCAACACCACCATCAGCTTCAAGGTTGCTTGGCTCGCCCTGTAAGGGACATTATTAGTATCCAAGCCCTGTTGTGTAAATTACTCATGTACTTACAAAAGAATTGTAGCCCGTGCTAGACCAGTATTTGGCATCTCCAGCGTCCGGAGTCACAGTGATGTCTAACGCTTCGGTGAGAGTGTAGTAGTTTCCTTGTTGGGTAACCAGCTGACCCCCTCCACGGGCTGTGACCGCGGCACAGGCAGAAAGATCCCACTGACCGCTATTGGTGAGGCATCCAAGAAATTCCACTCCATTTTCAGAGGTCACCTGAATGTACCCCTGGCCGGACAACTCTTGGGCCAGGGCAGGTGAATAAAGAGCAATACTTGCAGCCACAAGGAAGGTTTGTAGGAATCGCATGGTGGAGGTAATAGACAAAGCGGTGTTGTGATGAGGGATTGAATGATCTGGCGGAATCTAACGATGAGCGGCGTTGCTTCACAGTTTATAACTAGAAGATTTGCGCCTAATATGCCTCACCTCTGGATATTGCAGCTTGTCTTTTTAGTGCTGACCAAGGCATGTCCCTCGGATGGTCGGACCATAATGCTGACCATGACTATGTTACTCTACCCTTACAATTTCCATCTATAATTGCAAATATCACGGATCTAACCGCCGCTGATCATCACTCAAGAGCTCTAAAACATTTGTTAGCTGTCATGTATTATTTCTGTCCATGTTGGCTTCTGTTTTCTATGAAAAAAATTTATCCTCATCGAATTTGTCGCTCGCATAATACCAAAGTAATGGAGTATTGTAGCTTTGAAGGTCGCCTTGCCGAAATGGTGAAAATGTCGGTCTCCATGCGCCCCCAAACCCACAGCATGCTGCAATCTCCGATCACATCATGAACGCGTGCATGAACAGAAGCTCCCCTGTCCAGCCCAACCAGCCCTGCTAGCTTCTGGCAAATCAGTGTATCAGCCAATCAGCCTATGTTCGATTGCGCGCTAGTTATTCGCCTGCAGGTATTGTGCGGAGGCAATGCATCGGCTCGGAGTATCCCTTTCAGAGCAGCAGAACAGGAGCACCTGGTCACGGGCTTTGCTCGGTCGCCTCCCGCAGAGAACTAATTGTCAAGATTAGCAATGTGAATTACAAATCTGATTGGGCATTCTTGCATGTGAGGGTCGCGTACAACTCTGCACCGTATATAGTCCAGCGGATACAGCCCATAATGCTATAGAACGCCGATCCCCCTTCTCGATCCTATGCTTTAGCTTGAGTTGGCTATAGGCGCTATGCCCAGACCGGGGGTCTACCAGAAAGCCGATCCTGAAATCTTGATTCATTCGAGATCTTGGAGGTAATGACCATGGGCCGTCACCCATGTCATAGCAAGGTTTCTCTGAAGTAGATTGTCTTTCCTGTTGGGTGCACCAGTTTGCGTTCCCGTATGCTTGATGTCTGGTAGCTCTGTTGGGGCGTTGTGTATTCTGCAATAAGCTCATAGTATGGCTGCAGAATAGGAAGATCGGGCATCGTTACTTTCCCTTCCCTACCTTTTGAATGGAAGTCTGAGTTGAAAGTATCTGGGGAAAAAAGCGTATCTTTTTACCGGATCGCTCGGCATGCAAACTTTTGAGCTGACTTCAGACCTTCTCTATCAAAGTCGTAATGATTGTCGGTGAAATGCGACGTGACAGGATCGTTGCCCCGCTTTTCATGCTTGATTTTTCCGTGATTCGAAAGTTGCACTGAAATACGAAGTAGATATTTGTGCATCCCATCCATTCCGCAAATTTAGGCCATTTGTGAGATAGACTATAGATACTTTTGGTTGCGCTCGACGCCTCTTTGAATGCAGGTGTTGAAGATACATCCGAATTATTAGGTTTACCTTGCTTGCCTACACCGCCAGGGAGTACAAGTCAGAGTGAAGATTATGTATGAATTGATTTTGTAGAGAAACGCCTCCGTGTTTTTAGTAGCAGCAAGGTTATCTTACCTACTCACACCTCATACACTCAACACTAAGAGGCAAACTGATGATTGATAAAGTAAAGAAGGAGAAAGTCATCCTTCCGAGCAGGAAGACGTGACGAAACCTCAATAGACATCTAAGAGTGAATACGCCTTTTAACGGTATTTCAGGCGCCTAACTGTAGGCCTGCATATTGTTGAGACCTCCATTCTTATTCCCGCTAGCATTATGACAAATGAATGCCCTCGAACCCACTGTTTACTGATGTATGTAACACAACTTGTAACGCTACCGGGTAACTAGCAAATATCCTGCAGATGCGGCTACATGATCTGCTTCATGTCTAATACACTGATTGGTCTGTTAATCACTGAACTAATGTAGTTACCAGTCCACGTGCATTCCTTTCTCTGGCCGGTGCGTAGGGCACTCCTCAATGCGAGGGTCGCCCCGGAGTAGCATTCTCGATAGTAGCAAGAATCCCATGTTTTAGAAGAGAGGCCCCTTGCTAACAAAATGGAGCTTGCGTCCTTACGCTTTCAATTGGTCCTTCTTTTACACGTCAAGGAAGGCGCACTTGTCGAAATTATTCGAAATTCTGGGTCTAATGGCTGGTTGAGATGTCAGTTTCTGCACCCATGAAACCAAGTTCAAGCTGAGGGAGTACAATTGGTTTTATCCAAATATCATGCTAGTCGAGGAGCTATAACTTATTTGTTATCCGGAATAGAGCTAAGGCGTTGAATATTCAATAATTTATACTCACCCCCTCACTGCATTAGCTTGCATGGCGCTCGGCTACCCTTTATGAATGAATACGTGGAATTTCTGTTGCGATGTGCCTTCGTCGACGGCCTGCACTCTGTGAGATATGTATTAAAGGATAACTATTAGTCGATGAAAACCACTCCTTATATACTGAACCCTGATCCGTAGCATGTCTGATGAGAACACATCTTGTCGATATCTTTGCCACGTTTCCGAAAGACATCTATTGTAATTTCCAATTCATTGAGCAGCCCCGAGTTCATCTCGGTCCAGGGAGTCCGTTGGATCAAGCTCATTATAGAAGACAGTATTAAATGGCCCTTTTGATTTTGTTGCCTATATTGATCTACTCGTTTAACTGCAGAGGTCTGGGATCAGTACACAGCCGTAATTTACTTGCTGTCTATTCCAGGAGTATCTATGCTTCCGACTTAATGATCATCACATACTATGACTGCGCAACAGCTGACTCAAATAGCGCTTGCAGTCGTTTTCCCTCACTGTCTGCAAGCTCCTCGTAGGTGTGAGCAGTTCCGATTGGATGGTATGGGAATGGACTGTGTACAATGTTAGGATGCTAAACAACCACGGATCAATCGCTACTCACCCGTACTCCGGAACCCATGTGATCCGGCAGTTGGGATCTTTTTGCTGTCTTGACTTGACGATTCGAAGCCACAGTTCCTCGAAGAATTGCCGCTCGGGAGCAAATGCAGGGTTTAGAGGCTCTGGGCACTGTGACGACTGCTTTGTTCCCATACGTGCATGGATATGGCCAACCTAATAAATATGTCAATCATCTATTCTGTATTGCTTCTGTTCGGACGAGTGACAGGCTTACGCGTGGGATCACGCGGTCGAGGATCTCACGGTCTTCTTCGCCTTGATCTAGGAGTCTTTCGCAGACAACCACCCAATGTGAGATGTCGGCAGTGATACGTAACCTGCATAATCAGTATCGGACTAGGAATGACCCATAACCAGATTTACGTACTCTGGAACTCTCTGCAGAATGTAGTCGGCCGAATAAGGGTTGAAGAGAGATCTGTTTCGGTGTGTTTCGTGGCAGACTATGCCTTCAAAGCCCTCTTTCTTTTCTACCTCAAGAGCTTTCTGGTAGAAGTAGACAGATTCATCAAAGCTCCAATAGTCACTGAGGAAAATAGCGAGTCAATATCTTGAGCGTGGTAAACTCGGAGTGGAGGGGATCATACGCCCCAGATTGTGCATTAATGACCACTGGCTTCAAGATGGTCGCCAGGCGAAGTTGTCCTCGGTAGAACTCGAGGTGAGCATCTGGGGTCAAGCCACGAGGGCGGGGGCCGACATATTTCGGCCATGCGGAAAAGAGGCTGCAATCGATCAGCTCAATTGCCGTTTCACAAGGGCAGCTACTACTTTATAGTTGAGATACTGACAGAATGCTGATTTCCAGGCCCACCTCATCACAATTCTTGCGGAGAAGCTGCAGTTCCTCGGGCTTCATAAAAGCAAAATCAATCTCAATTCCAGCTGTTAGACTATCACGTTAGTTTAACTCTTGTGGGCATTGCAGTGAGGCGCCAGCTTACCGTAGCCGTGAGCCTTGAACTCAACCAACTTCTTTCTCCATTCGGTCTGCTCCGGACCGGGATCAATGCCCCAAAGGGATCTGAAACGGGAGATAACGACCATGACTGAGGATTATGAAGGTACAAGTTTTGTAGGAATTCGTCTGGTCTCCTGAAGGGCACGCGGGCAACAATTGCTTGCTTGCTTGCTACGAGCTTGTCCGACAGGCTGCGAGGAGATAGCAGGGCTATAAATCGGGTGGATATGGATGACAAAGAGCCGATCCATCACGCTTAGCTCTACCACCAGCGGCCATGCTTTGGAGGGCTCCGCAGATGTCGCCATCGTGATCTGCCCTTTGGAAGTGACTCTAGATATCTTTGATGCTTTCCCAGCAGGGAAATCACAGATCGGGGAATTTAACCCGCCATGGCCCGCTCCACTTTCCCCAATTGACGGCCGAGCGACTAGTCCCCTCCGGGTTAGCGTCAAGGATGTGCCCGCGGAGGAGTTCTCCTTCTACGGCCATTTCCTCCCCGGTTGCCCAGAAAAGGACGGCCACAGCATCATGGATCACAACATCAACTTGCTTCGTCCATCTAAAGCCGGTTCAATGTTCGGCCTGGGAATTCTGTTCCGCACCCGGTCGGCATCCACAAGCCAGACACGGTCCGCCGGTCTTTACGTCTCGCCCCTCCCCCACCTTTTCCCCCCACTCCTCATGTCGTTCCCCTCACCCCACTCCTCGATTGATATATACCCATAAATATTTAGCATGACCGACATTTAGCAAACATAACCGCAAATCCCATTGTTTTTGACGGATTTGTTTCATCAGTCGGAGCAAAAATGGCATCCCAATCCATGAAGGCATTGAACTACGTCGGGCCTTTCACGGTCAAGGTGCAGGAGGTGGAGCGGCCCAAGCTGGAGCACCCCGATGACATTATCGTCAAGGTTACCAGTGTATGTTGTGTAGACTAGAACAATCTCCGCCCAGTTGCTGACAGCTATGACAGGCAGCCATCTGTGGTTCTGATCTGCAGTGAGTGCAATTGAGGAGTAGGGTAGAATAGGGTCCATACAACAATGTTGCTCACACATCCCCAGCATGTACGAAGGAAGGACGGCGGCAGAGCCCGGTATCACATTTGGTATGTTGAACTCTGATCTCATATCTCTACCCACCCTGACGTGGATGGAACAATCTAGGACACGAGAATCTCGGTCTTGTCGAAGAACTCGGGGAAGGAGTTACCTTACTAAAGAAGGGCGACCGTGTGGTCATGCCATTCAACGTTGCGGATGGTCGTTGTCGGAACTGTGAGGAAGGGAAGACAGCGTTTTGCACGGGTGTGAATCCTGGCTTCGCTGGTGGTGCATACGGTTCGTCTCTTCTGAGTGAGCGGTGTGCGTATCTTCGCGTTGACATCGAATCCCACAGGATACGTGGCTATGGGACCCTACCGCGGAGGTCTGTGTGACCCCCTTACTGTTAGACAGATTCATGCTAACCGAGTGGACCATCAGGCCAGGCACAGTACCTGCGCGTTCCCTACGCTGATTTCAATGCCCTGAAGCTCCCACCAGGAACCGAACACGAAGCGGACTTTATTCTGCTGGCAGGTAGGCAGTCGATGCTCTCACTCTTCGGTGATCGGTTAACATAGGCATACCAGATATTTTCCCCACAGGTATACTCCCCCACGAACCCAGTTGAATCCCCAAGACCACGTCCGCTAATACGAGTAGGATGGCATGGCATTGAAATATCAGGGTTTCAGCCAGGTGACAGCGTAGCAGTCTTCGGGGCTGGCCCCGTTGGTCTCATGGCAGCATACTCCGCCCAGCTGCGCGGTGCATCTCGCGTGTACGTGGTAGATCGGGTCCCCGAACGATTGAGGGCAGCGGAACGGATCGGTGCCACCCCCATTGATTTTACCGCGGGCGATGCCGTCGATCAGATCATTGCACACAACGGAGATATGGTGGATCGGTCCGTGGATGCTGTTGGATACCAAGCTGTCGGTAAAGATAACTCGACCGAGCAGCCGAACATCGTGCTCGAGAACATGATTCGTGTGACTCGCGCGTGTGGTGGACTGGGTATTCCTGGTCTCTACGTTCCTAGGTTTGTCACCCCCGCATCGCACTACGACGGAGTATGTTGGCTGACGACTGACCAGTGACCCCGGTGCGGGTGATGCATCGGCTGCGAAGGGGATGATTAGCCTGAGCTTTGGCAAGCTCTTCGAGAAGGTATAGTAGACGCCTGCTCTTTTGGGATAGGATGCACTGAAGCTGACATTGTGAGCAGGGACTTTCTCTCGGCACGGGCCAGTGTAACGTCAAGGCCTATAACCGGCAGCTACGAGACCTGATCATTGCCGGCAAGGCGCGCCCCAGCTTCGTGGTGTCTCATGAGATTGGAATTGAAGAGGCCGAGACGGCATATGACAAATTCGACAAGCGCGTGGACGGCTATACCAAGGTTATCATTCACCCGAATGGGGGATTCCCCAGCAAGCGGCCACCGGTGGGTTCCTCGCTGTAGATTCTGCCGGTGTCATGTTTGGTTGCAAATTCAGTAGAGAGGAGTTCTGTTCATCGTTTAGCACATGTACAATTGATTGAATTTCCTCTGTCGAGTACATGACGTGTATTTCTTCCTCTTAAAATGTTCTCCGGGGAATGGAGTCCGACACGGAATGTTTGTCCACTTCACGCAGCGACAATCATTTCCCGATTGGGGTAGGATGGCCCTGCGGAGAAGACAACCCAACTGGGAGCAAATGATAGTAGTCCGACGAAGGTGTCGATCGATTGGCATCATGGTGCATACTCGTACCAAGAATCCCTGTCTGATATTCCCTCAATCGGCGGCTAGTGCTCGCCTCCGCGACCGGCCATTTAATGTCACCAATGTGAAAGGGATGCCAGGCTCTGCGGACAGCTTAAGATTATATCGTACTGACTGTATTACAGGGGCATAGTTCAGAAGTATATATGGGGAGTTGATGTTACTACTAGTCCCACACAGCATAGCATATCATCTCATTTCTGAAAAGGTATATTACACTCAACTATGGATCTCTAGGGGCGATACCTATCTAACATAGATTTCATCAAGCTGAAATATCATAGAGTATCGACATCCGCCATTTGACTGAACTTCTTCCATACCGATGGAGTGTTCCAGGCTCTTAGCCAGTACCCACCCTCCCGTGCACCTTTCAGCGTATATGCTGACGGCCACACTCCCTGTCGCAGGCTCTGTACAAGGGGGTGGACGAAGAGAACCCTGGCCGGTTTGCCCTGATCGCATGCGGCCCCAGAAAAGTCGAGGCATGCGAAATCGAAACTTGTCCACGTGGTGATCATAACCATCGGCATCCTTCCGTTCGCGGGGATTTGCGGCAACATCCGTTGTGACGCATGATCCTCGCACATTCGCAGGAACGCCTTGATGGACGCCGGAGAGGTGTATCGCAAGCTGGCTAAACGGAGCCTGCCTGCTAGCATGGCTACGGGCTCATTCTGGATCTGAGACACCGACAGCTTGTGCCGCAATAGCCCGATGCTGTTATGAATCCAATACGTCCCTGGCTGGGGAGGTTCAACCACACACCGATAACTGAGCGGACCATAGAAATACATCTCAGCTCGACTGCTCGGGAGGGGACCATAGACCGTTTTGAGAAACCATGCATTAATGACATTGTTCCTGGTCGGCTGGGCACCCACAGGTGTGGCGGCGAAAGCAGAGAGTGCTCGTTTGTGCATGGCGCCTACCCAGTCGTCTGGCAGGTAAATGTACCGTTCCTCCAAGGTTTCCTGCAGACATAGCTTGCGCAGCAGTAGACACCAGATTACTCTGGCTATCAGTAGTAGAATCGGCCAGAACCCAGTGGTGAAGTTGGACAGATGTTCGGCATAGGTTATGGATCGAACCGACCTTTCCTGCGGGTCGTTGAGTATCACTCGGTCGGACATTCGGTGACCACAAGCATCGGGTGGTAGTAGCGGAGATGTGATAGGCCGACCCGCGAGCAGGTCACAATAGGCCCGAATTACGTCGTAGGCGGCAGTGCCGTCGGCCAGATGATGGCTGATGCCAAAGCAAAGTAGGGTGGCGTCCTGGAGAATCGTAACGCGGACGAGGAAGACATTCGCAGGTCTGGCAGGTACATTGAAGATGAAAGCAACATCCAGTTCTTCAGGGTCGAGGGCGTCAATAATCGTCGGTTGGTTGCATTCTCTAGACTGGAGCACGCCATGTTTCCAGGATGCTGCACCTTTGGGAAGCGTCCGACTTGCAAAGTCAACAGTCGAGCCAGTGGAAAGTGTATACGGGCGGCCCTGTCTCTCACTTCAGAAAATCGTCATTGCACCTGGGGCTCAATGATGGATACTAATCACTGACCGACCGGTAAAGCTGCCCTCCCAGAGCAGGCCACGCTTTTACCAGCTGAGCTGCCGTATGCCTCAACACGACTTCATCTAGATGCGCGTCCACGATAAGTCCGGTGAAGACCATGGCATCGCAAGTAAGAGGGTGGACAGTTCGACAACGATACTTGGCTTTCTCCATGGCGTGGTCGTTGTTCCTTCTTCAGCCCAGGATGCTTGAAATGTAGAGTACTCCACAATGGTCTGCACTGGCTTCGCGCTGGATATATTCTGTAGAGAACCAGCCAGGTGACCTCACGCTGGAACAAGGTTCGCTCAGGTTGATACTTGAGTTGGTGTTCTGTTAATTCCACTGGCTTTTGGCAAGCGAACTCCTGATTCATTCGGATCCTATGGCCGACCGAATGGCTGACATGTCGACGAATGGTTACCTATTAAATTGCTCTTGGTATCTAGGTTCAACCTTCAATTTAATCGTGAGCTGGGAAGTGTCGGTCCTCGTCGGAGTCCGGAGTGAAACCTTCGGAGGTTATGCTCGTCATGTACCCATACTTGGATTAATGATTCTAAGGTAAGGTTACATTGACAGCTCACCAATTCATCGATCCCGAGTGTCGTTCATGATTCGATGTTATGGCAGAAAGTACCAACCTCGCAACTAGCAACCCAGCCTGGCTGCTTATTCTCCCACTATATGGCAATGACGCGCCGAGCAACAATAACGAAGCAGTCATCTGGCTCTTGTCGCTCCGCAGAACCAGCGTCCAAGATCAGCACCAGATGATTTCTGTCGTGACACCGAGTGCAACCGTCTCTGTGACGGTGTCGGCTTTCGCCCTTCCCGCACTCAGGAACCAGGAGTATTGAGTGTCACCCTGCTAACTATTTGTCCACTCTGGATACGCCGCATATTCATCGCTTGTGTCTCGATCAAGGCTATTGACATGACTCTTTCCATGAAGACGCAAAACGCGGTGATTTCTGGATGCTATCCCTGCAGGTCAAGAATCTTCCGAAGGCCCGCCGCCGCGACGCAATGTAGGGCTCTGGGTGGGAATGCGTTATGAGCTGACCCTCGGTACGATCCTTCATTGGTTGGTTCTCATAACCTCTCGCAGGGTATCCATATACCAGTTCTTTCCAAAGACGTATGATCCTATACCACCCGCCAGCGGTATACGGTGTGGTTCCACAGATGGCCCATCGGGTCATTCTTGACCCTTCTGCTGTAGCTGTTTGATCCGCTCGATCAAATCCGGCATCTTATACGGCTTGTAGATAATGTCGTTCATCCCCGCCGCCAGCATCTCATCCTTCTGAGCCGTCCGTACATTGGCTGTAACCCCGAGAATTGGGACCTGCGCCATGGGACCATCCAACTGGCGAATGGCCCGGGAAGCCGTTGTGCCGTCCATGATGGGCATGACCTGATCCATCAGTACACAGTCAAAACTCCCCTGCTGCTTGACCGCATCTACCGCCTCCTGGCCATTACTCGCTTCGCTGACCTGAAAGCCGGAGGTCTGAAGCTTGCGCGAGAGGATACGCTTGTTAATGACGTTGTCTTCCACTAACAAAATGCGCCGTTCGCGCGGGTGTGACCGCGGTTCACTTCTCGGCTTTTCGGGGACCTGATGATCCTCGTCCTCTGACACAGGTGAACCTCTTGACGCCGGGGAGGAGGCTTCGCTGGCAATCTTCACTGTATGCAGCCGCCGACTGTCCCGGCTGGCGTGTCGCGAGATCTCTGGGACGTGAGTGACCGCGGGATTCTCGGAAATGCGTGGTCGGGCGTGATGCTCGGTCACTCCACTCATCTCGTTGCCCATCGCCTGGATCTGGCTGCACATCCGGTCAATCTCTGTGGTTCCGTTGCTTTTGGCAGGGTCCTCCCCGGGTCCTGCTGCAGTGCGTCGCACCGTGAAAAAGAATCCAAACGTACTTCCCTCGCCCTCCTTAGAACTCACGCCGATCTCTCCGCCGTGCAAATGGCACAGCTTGCGACTAACATTCAGACCTAACCCCGATCCGCCGTATATTGTCTGGGTGCGTGGAGTCGCTTGGTTGAATCTCTCAAACAACCTCTTCTGCGCTTCGTCATCGATGCCAATGCCATTGTCTTTCACGGCCACCATCAAAAACGCGTATTCTCCCGCCCCCCATTCAGGTTGTGATGTCGCGTCCAGTTTAAGTGCCTCCTCACCGGAGTCGAAGAAAACCACATTCGGAGGATAGGAGGATGGCCGTTGGGTAGATGCACCGATAGAGACGCGGATGCGCTTGTCGTCGCCCGAATTGGCGGTGAACTTGATGGCGTTAGAGAGCAGATTGATGAGGACCTGGCTCATGCGATCCATATCCGCCATGACCCAATCAATGTCCAAGTTGGCGTAGGAATGGTCCAGCTCGTAGGAGAATTGAATATCATGTTTACGCAGCTCCGGACGAAACATGGCCAGCGCGGTGGCTACATTCCGGCGCGGTTGTACGCGTCGGGGAGATAGCGTCAGCATGGCAGCATCCAATTTGGAGTAGGTTAGTACGTCGTCGATGATCTTCTTCTGGTGCGCCACGCAAAGACTGATGGTATCGGCTGCTTCAGCGATCTGCGTCCGCATTTCCTCCCCTGAATCCGGGGAATGAACAGCCTCCAGGATATCCTCAGTGCAGTGGAGGATGGCCGATAGCGGGTTTCGCACCTCGTGACTGATCATATCGATAAATCGCTCCTGTTGTTGTTTGCGGTCCTCTGCCTCGTGGGCAATGCGACGCTGCGTCAATTCCGCCGTCTTCTCTTGTGTGATGTCGGTGATAGTGCAAACGAAGCCCCCTTCTGGTCCCAGGCTGAATCGTTGTCGCTCCTCCTCATCTTCCAGTGGCGTCAACAAACACACGCGCCATAGACACGGTTGCAACCGGGTACGGTATTCGATGCGGAGGGCATGGTAGGACTGAGAGGCTTCTCGATATGCTGCTGCTACGCGATCAAAGTCCTCGGGATGGATGGACTGGCACCAGCACTCAAACGCACGATCGGAGGTGCAGGTTGTTAATTCCAAGAAGCGTTTGTTCACGAAGACGGACCCGTCCTGGTGATCAAGGACAGCCAACCCGATAGGCATCATGTCGGCCAGCTGCTGGGCCGACACGTCTGGGTGGCCACCCATGGCGTTATTGCTGGTTATTGTCTGCATGGGCTCGGTGTCTGGAGGGGGGAGAAGGGGAAAGGAAGGTTTGAGGAATGGCTCCAGGTCAGAGTTGGGTTGCGGCGCCGTGAGTCTACTGGTGCCGATCAAGGTTGCAGTGGCTGATAGTAAAACCTTCCACTGTTGATCGAAAGGGCAGTAAGCGGTCATAGGGAATTTTCTTGTATTGCTGTGTGCTTTTTGTGGTTAATCCATGTGAATTTTCCATGGGAAGCTGGTCCATGACGTCACGACATGGAAGAGCCCTATTCTAACACCCATCAACAAACTTTCATTCTCCTGATCCCGATCGAAATTTATGTGCCTGTTTATCTGCCATGAATGTAGACTCATTCTCACATTCACATTCTACATCATAGCTAAGACATACATACCTCGGAAATATTATCGACCAATGTTGTAGACAGAAAGAACACGACAAAGTGACCTCTCAGTCCTAGGCAATTAACTTCCGCAGCCTCTATTCATGACAAAGTAGTTCTTGTCTCAACAAATAGAACACTGCTATCTTCATAGTCCAGCTTTTCCCCTTCTTCTTCTGCTACTGTCAGCAACAGTTTCCAAATCGCTGTTACATCTCGGCAATCTTCTGCTGCAACCAGGGAACAGGCGATGGATATGCGACACGTCCTCACTGAAACATGTTCCGGGATTTTCGCCCCAAGACTGCCACTACGTTACCATAGGAGCAGTTGTTAGGGCCTTTGTACTGATCATCAGCCGGTCGACTTTGGCGGACCCATGCAGGGGTTAGTCGATTTGATCAACGCATCGAAATTGAGGGGTCCTTAAGTCCTCATTCTGTCCGAGACGTCTCATTCGCCAAGTTACATTCTGGTGCAGTTGAAAGTCGCCGTTGGCGACGGTATATGTGTCGCAATCATTGCTTTCGTCAATAACATTAGCTACCACGGACTTAATATCTCGTAGAGGTGCAGTCAGTCAGTTCAACAAACCCTCTATCAGCATCCAACATTGCAGCTACGCCGAATAGTTGTTCGCAATTTGCTACTCTCTGGTATGGAAGTGCCAGTCACTGAGCCGACCCTGGGCGTCTACGGTATCTGTTGCTCATGACGAACAGATACCTGGTGTAGTTATCACACCAGCTGACTAGTATAAGTAACCGCATGAAACCACTTTTTCCTCCAAAGCTATACTGGTGGAGCCAGATGTTCAGCTCTATACCAGGTGCGATATATTGCTCTCCTACGCGTGAACAAACAGCTCAGGACTGGTCTTTCTGCTGATTTATAAGAGTGCAAATCCAGCCACCTATACCAACTCGAGACTACCTCCGGACTACTTTAGATCCCCACCTTCTCCAATACTTTTCAGTTCTACAAGATCTGGTAATTTATCAAGCTAGTGCCATTCCATATCGCTCAAATAAACACATGTACAGGTTCCATTCTTCAAAGCAATGGCAGGATTAGATGTAGCGAATCTGCCGGAAGGATTTGAGCATCATGTAGACCCCATGCAGGGTAGCGTACATGCTGGCGCCAGCCACGGCCCAGGCGGCGCCATGCACGCGTAAGGAGCTAACGGGGATATGGCCGGGTTCTGAGCTATCCTTGCGATAGGTATCCGACCGCATGATATGTCGTCGTCGTTGGGTAGGGTCTGACTCATTCAGCTGCTGATCTTGACATTGTAAATCTTCATGGCACAGGGAGCAGCGTACCCGCCGACTGCAGTCTTTGGCTGATGTTGCCGACGACTGGTCGGGAGCGACCGATGAGCATTTGATGCATGATGAATGTTTTGATACAATGTGATTGGGTTTGTCTTTTGGCAGTTACAGATATGGTGTACTAGTTGGTAGTGCGTGCAGGGTCCCGTGGCTATTATAAGCAGAGAGTGCAGGGGCGAATGGGTTGCCGGAACCAGGGTTGTCAGGCGACCGCGGGGGTGGCGAGACGTGAGACTTTTGTTCATGATAGCATTTCCTCGTCATGGATTGACTAGACTGCAGCTGGCATATGCAGTTCATTCTCAGATGGTTCATCGTCTACTGTACCTACCACGCGACATGGTGGTCCCGCTGTTTCTTATGATAGCAGCATATCACGTATCTTCATTGAACTTTTTGGCTTGGCATGTCATCTACTTTTCAGTAATTAAAGTAACCTTAGCATTCTAGTGTAGATATCATTAAGTACTTTGTGTTCAGTTCATTCAAACTGCTGGAGCTGACAACGCAATCGGCCAATACTACGAGATATATATATTGGTCTGTTGGCAACAGTCGCAAAGGGATGAAAGCAAAGAACACCCCACCATACTCCAATAGATGCTTAGTATTACAGATTCCATTCTCTCTTTTGTCGCTATCCCAATCAGCAATAGAGCTTCTTGTGCTTCCCTTCCATCTTCTCTGCATAATTCCCCGGATCTTCCGAGGATGCAACGCGTCATGTGACGTCACAGAATGCTCTCCCCGCATTACACCAATAATTACGGTTAGGCCAAGCACTGACCCGGTATCGCATTCGGGTCATTTCCCACCGAGCGGGATATCCGACTTGGAGCATCTCTTGCTTGGCTTCCTAAAACAAACAGGCAGAATGGCTACACTCCAGCCTGTGAGGGCTCTCCTACCCTCTCTGAATCATAAGCAAAAAGGTGTCAGGTTGAACGTAGGACAAGGTCTCGTCCTTAATCGTCACCATGGCTTCACCCCACTGGACTCGCGCAGCCCCCTGGATCTGGCTACCTCACTATCTCGAAGAAGATAATCGCCCTGGTCGATATTTCCTCTTCAGAAAGACCTTCCAATGGGCCTCTTCCAATCAATCACAAAGTTTCCCTGTGCACGTCTCCGCCGA